AGGTCCCTTCTGGTCACTTTGTTTCTTATCAGTGAAACGGGAAGCACACCATCAGCTGAGAGAGCCCGGCAGGAGGTGCCGGAGGCTTGAGGAGGGAGGAGCAGGCACCAGTGACCTTGAAGGAGGGCGGTCCCACAGCCCTCCGGCACGCATGCTGCTGTTGGATACTCTCCTTACAGACATCCCTTCATCACACGAGCAAGCTCTTGAAAACCTAGTTGCCCACTCCTAATGACATCGGCCGGCGGGCTTGCTCTTCATTGCTTCCGTTTTGCTTTTGCAGTGCTTGTCAGTACCAGCTAGTTAGAATGTTACCTGGTAACACTTGCAAAATGTTGGGCAGCTGAGGTGAACCCAGCTGATGGAGATGTAATTAATGTTTTTAGATTTCCCGTTAGTACAGCTATTCCGGCGTCGACGTACTTGCTGAATTCTTAGGTTTTGTTTCTGCCTCAGTCATCTCATCATTGGGAATAATGCTGTGGAAACGCCTCATGTCCACATAGAGACATTACTGTTACAAGACAGTCTAAGAAAAGGGTTCTTCTTGTATCTCCATGTCCTAAATAGTCTTTGCTTTTACGGATGTCGCCGGCTTACACGTCTGACCCATTCTTCTGAAATCTGTTCCATGTAAACATTGTTTTTTCAAGTTTCTGATAGATCTCTTTTAAGTTCCTCTAACTAATGCCATTGTGTTCCATCTTTGCTAAGATCTGGTTTTCTCGTTTATAGGTACAAACGCTTAATGAACAGGACTGGGAACGTGCCCAACAAGCCAGTGTCTTGGCGAATGTCGCACAGGCGTTTGAGAGTGACGTGGACGTGTCTGACGGGGAAGACGACAGAGACACTCTCTTCAGCTCTGTCGACCTGTTGTCGCCCAGTGGGCAGGCTGATGCCCAGACGTTAGCCCTGATGCTGCAGGAACAGCTGGACGCCATCAACAAAGAGATCAGGTCTGTGTTACTGTGTGCAAATAATTTATTTCACACGTTTCATAACTCTTAGAAAAGTCTGGGAAAAAAATAACTGTTAACATCTTCTAAATGTTCCATAATAATGAAAACTTAACTTAAATTCTGTTTGACAAATTTTAAGGTCTGAGGCTACCCTTGATTCATAAAACTCAACTAATCCCGGCACTCTGTCCACAGTGATGGTTCTTCTCCATTGTGTCAGATGTCATGGGCCTAGCGGAGAGCCCGCAGGGTTCCATGCACTTTCTTTGCGTTATTGGCAAGCTGTCCAATCCCCTTAGTGGGTCACAAGGACCTTATTTGCATAGCCCTACCCAATCATTTGGTAGGAGTTACAAGACCATGGTGAGAAAGGCCATATAAGAATGATCCGACACACCAGTGTGACTTCGCATGGAGTCAGGTGGAGTTGCCGCCCACGTTTTATTCTTGTAAAGCTAACAGGCAGAAGTCCTCATTACTGCCTGGTGAGAACATGAGGGGACCAAGAGAAGGTTAGCAGAATAAACATCAGAAAGAGCTGTTGACTTTGAAGGAAACAGATTCCACTGCCTGAGTTGTCGGCCTCACACACGGACTTCTCATATGCCATCTTTAAACACTGGCGAAGAGCTTTGAAAGATAG